CCTGCATCGTAAAACAGACCCTTGGAATGAACTTTTTAACTCAATTTATTTACTACTCTGTAATATGAAATTGATTATCTCTTCCAAAAGCCCACAAATATCCATACAGAAAACCATTTTGATGTTTATAAAACTTGCTAAGGGATATTTACACTTTTGACCATTGGGATGAATTATAACTGAGACTGAATGATAGAAAAAACACTTTTCGTTCAAACCTGCAGACCTAATTCGTCATTAAAACATTTTATTGACCTTCTCATGTGCAATCAATCAGGATTACTGCACCAGACAAAGAAAAAAAGAACATGACTTTAATAGATCAAATCCCAAGAAGAGTTTGTTAATTTAAAGAAAGTTTTTGAGAAAGTAGTTTTAGCAATAATCCAAAATGTTTTCCTCTAGCTACCAATTACAACCTAATCAAGTAGCATTTGGTTGTTCTGCAACAGCATGGCTTTAAATCTCTAAGAAAAAAAAAAAAAAAAAAAAATAGAACCAATTTAAATGAAATTTCTCACAGGCATGAAATCATAAAAAGTTAATCTGTTAGAATCACTCTACCAAAAAGGACATTTGCAGATCAACTACACAAAGTAAATAGCTTCTAATAAACCAGAGAGAAAAAAAAAAACATGTATATTAGATGGCAAAAACTGTTCTATTACATCCCAATAGCATTATTCAGTATGCTTGTTCATGACGACACATTATATTGCCATCTTTGAAATTATAAGATCAAATTAAACGTTTCACAAACTTATCAGCTTAAAGGACATGTTTGCATCCCCTCTTAAATATAAAGATTTAACGTATTCAAAGAAAACTGGAACACCTTATCAATCTGTATTTGCTCATTTAACAACCACAGTGGGACAGCTGTTGGAGAAGATAATGGAGGCTTTAATTTCATTTTAGAGAACATCCTTTCTATTTTTATTTCACCGCTGCAGCAGAACACTGTAATAACCACAGTCCACAAAATTAAGCATTTGGCAAATGGATTGAAATGAAACAAAACAGTATTGAGGAGATGAAAGAAAACACCCCATAAAAAAAAAATTTAAACAAAAGCTTGGTTAGTACATAGTAAAGTATGACATCTAGTGGTCACCTAAATTATTAAACAGACATTAAGGCGGTCAAACAAAGTCTTTATTCTACATTTTGTATTATGCTTGCTTAATTCTTGTGGACAGCTAAAACAAAAGAAAAGGTAAATGGAATTCAAATTCTGCTAAATATCTTTATTTCAAGATAATGAAAAATATAAATACATATCTCTTCAAAGAAACAAATTTGCTCCACCTCAACACTTCAAATAAAATATTCAAAGGAATAATTTGAATAATGCCAAAACAGTAAAACAGTTAAGTCAAGTAAAACCTCAGTAGAGAAAGTGCATTAAGCATATTAAACACCTCAGTTACAACCAGTGTGGAGAAAGCAGTTGAACAGTACTGTCATCTTTCAAGGAGCTCTGGGGGAAGTAATTGGTTCCAAGATATTTTCATGTTACATTGCATATCTCTGGGTCCATTCTCGGGCCAGTTTGTTGTACCTTAAAATTGGGAAAATTTTAAATTAAGTAGATGGATTAAAAAAAAGGATTTGTCAGTTTAAGTAAAAGAAAACAACACCACAATACTTACTTTTGCTTATCTGCCTTGTAGATGTGTGCGATGTCAGGAACAAGCGGGTCATCAGGATTTGGATCACAAAGCAAGGAGCAGATGGACAACAACACTTAAAGGACAAAATAACAGAATTAGCGCAAAATAAAGGCCTTTTGTTATCTGTGTTGTTAATTCAGCATATTCAATTTATTCTTATAAATCTGACTAAATAACAGACATTAAAGGAAACCTTTTACTTTGCCGTTATATACATTATTTGGGGGATTTCTTAAGGTTTGAGTCTGAAATTCAATTGAGCTTCTTGGGATCTTCACTGAGCTAGAATACATGTTTATTTTATTCTGGTATTTAAATAAGATTTAAAGCTGCATTTGACACTGTAAACATTTTAATCCCTGCTTTTGTAACACTTAGATCTCAGGGTAACATTTTCTATTGTTAGCTTA